GCTTCACCCCAACCCCCACCAATGTGTGGGCTACAGGCACCAGCCACAAGCCAGTTAGTCACTTTTTAGTATGTGATAGCAGCTGTTTCCCAGTAGACAGTTAGAACACTGCATGTAAGCTAAATCACCCCACAGCTGGCTCTTCCCCATGCCAGCGTGATCTTGAGATTTTCACACTGAGTAAAAGGAGCCTCTTTTACTGGAGTTCTCACTTACTTCTAAACATCTGGGTCCTCAGAAACGCAGATGTGACCCTCAGCATCCCTGGGCACAGCTCTTGGCCCATTCGGGGAGCTGACTGTTTTTCTTGGGAACATAGCAATTTCTGGGTCATAGGATGTGAAACTTTCCGTTTTAATGAAGAATGCTAATTTGCCCTTCAAAGCAGCAGTGTTCATTTGCTCTCCTCCTGGCAGTCTTTGAGAATGCCATCGTCTGTGCGTCCTCAGCAACACCTGATACTATCAAACTCTCTTCCTACTGCCAGCCCAAGGGTAGAAGATGGTATCTTGTTTTGCTTTTGTTCTGGCTTCTTGTGAGGGCGGGCACCCTTTTTGTGTTCCCTAGCTGTCCCCATTTCCTCATCTGTGTCCCTCACTGCCATTACATGGTCCGTCTTGTCCACTTAGATCACATGGGTAATCGTGTGTGTTGTTTTCTGCAGTGGCTTCGTGGTTGGTTTGTTTTTGAGTAGTGTGGCCCCAGCTCTTTCTCACACACACAATGTCACCCAGCGTAACTTGACCTTGTCCTCATCCTCCTCTTGCTTCAGCTTCCCATGGGGCAGGGGTCACAGGGGTGAGCATGCTGTTATGCCTAGCTCCTTCAGTATTTTGTTCCTATATTGTTTACAGTTATTGGTGTGTGTGTGTGTGTGTGTGACATATACATATGTCACAGCATGTGAGAGGAGGTCAGAGGACAATGTATAGAAATGGTTCTCTTCTTCCACTATTTTGGTGCTAGGGGTTGAATTCAGGTCATCAGCACCTATACCCCCTGAGCCATCTGGACAACACAGTGTTTCTTTAAGGGAGGTCTAGGTCCAGCCCCTCTGCTGTACAATCATAGAGGGGTCCAGGAGAGTGAGATTGGCACTGAGATCTGGAACAGGGCATGCTGGAGTGTCTGGAAGACTCTGAGTCACCTGCACTGAACACTCTAGAGAGCCATACAGGGAAGCCCCTGAGGCTGTCATATCTATCCTAGGGCAGGGAAGGCTGCCTGCCACTGAATGCCTCCTACAGGCCCCATCCATCACAGCGCTTCAACACACTGGTGCCCTGGCTTCTGACTCCCAGAAGACTCCACATCCACTCTCAGAAAAGATTCAGACTCTGGACAAACTAGGCTTCCACTCATCAGCTCTCGAGGCGCCTCCCAAATCTGACACATCCACATGGGAATGCCCACAACCCACACTTAGGGCAATCTAGCTGGGAAAAGGCTTCCTAAAGTGACACCTGAGAGGCCCACATGCAAATCACTCCAAGCCAGTGCTTGCTTGCTTTCCTCCCAGTAGTTAGGTCTCTGAGCCACTTCCTTCCCTCCTCACCTGTCCCCACTGCTCTCTCACCTGCTGCACACTGCACTCTATTTCTTATGAACCCCCACCATCTTCATGGGACTCTGAGATCTCAGTGACATCTCTGAGAGCTGCTCCACTTTGGGGTTTGTCCTTCCTTTTTTCTTGTCGTTCTTTGTGATGACTGTGATAGTTCTTTTTCCCTGAACCCCCTAAGATAGCTCAGCTCTGTGGGGCAGTCAGGCCCCACCATACGCCAAAAACCCCAAGTCACCATGCTTCATGATAGCTTTGACCTTCAGACCAGTTGTTCCACAAGTGCAAGGGTAGAAAAAGATGTGTGGTCCTGAAGGTAGAGGAGGGGGAAGGGAGAAGAGGGAGATAGGGAGAAGGCAGGGAGAGAAAATGTGAAGGCAGGGTTTGGGGGGGTCTGTGGCATTGTTTGCTTGCTTGCTTGCTTGTTTCTTTGTTTTGGATTTTGAGTATTGTGGTTCAGTTGGGGGGGGGTTGCTTTGTTTTGTTTTACTTTTTGACACAGGGTTTCTCTGTGTAGCCCTGGCTGTCCTGGAACTCACTTTGTAGACCAGACTGGCCTGGAATCCATAGATCCACCTGCCTCCGCCCCATCGCCTCCAAGATTAAAGGTGTGCACCACAATGCCTGGCTTTGTTCACATTTTTAAATGTAGAAGATTCTCACTGAGGAAATATTTTAAATATTGAGTAAAGGAGATAAACTCCACCTCTTGATAACTAAAAAGCCATGCAGTATGGAATTATAGATCCTAGGTCTGGGGGACTGGGTAGATGGTAAAGTGCTTGCCCTGCAAACATTAGGACAAGTGTTCAATCCCCTGGGTATGGGTGGCATATAATTATGCCCTGAGGAGGCAGAGGCAGATGGATCCCTGGAACTTGCTGGCCAGACAGCCAGACAGCCATATTTATGAACACCAGATCCCAGTGAGAGACTCTGACTCCAGAAACAAAGTGGGTATCTCTTGAAGAATGATACCCAAGCTTGATCCTGGCATCCACATGCGCGCACGCGCGCGCACACACACATACGCACACACACACACAGAGAGAGAGAGAGAGAGAGAGAGAGAGAGAGAGAGAGAGAGAGAGAGCGCGCACCAAAAAAAATTAAAATAATTAGGGTCAAATATAAGCCAGACCTGGAGGCTCAGGCCTTAACCCCAGCACTTGGGAGGCAGAAAGATCACCTTGAAGTGGAGGACAGACTTGGCTACACAATGAATTTGTGACCTAGAATATAGCCAGACTCTGTCTAAGAGTTATGTATTCCTGACCAAAGAGCTGGGATGAAAATAGAGATTCCTGCCATAGGTAACAAGACCAGGCAGTCTCATCCATTTGGGCTGATGTTTGCTTCAGGAAATGTGACTGTCCCGGGTGTCTTATTCCAAAGAGGAGATGGACGCATAAAGCCTGTTTTTAAAAAAACAAAAAACAGAGAGAACATTCTGGAAACAATGACACAGAAGCTAGGTTATCAGGCAACTTATATCTCTAAGAGCCCACAGAAACTATTATCTTATGGTGGCCTAAAGGGAGGGGGGAGATTTCCCCTCTTGTCCTCAGGCATGGGTATGAGGTGCAGTGCCCTTCAGACAATGCCCAAGTCCAAGTTTGTTGCCATTTGTGTTTGGAACTAGAATGTATCCTCTTTGTTTCCTTTCCCTGGGTGAGTAGACCTATAATTCTCTGTAGAGATACTTTTCTCACATCTCAAAATCATGAAACTAAATGGTCTACCCTCTTATTTAAAATTGTTATGTTTCCCATCGTCATAGCTTGTAAATAGTTTTGGCTTCCACCCAAGGGGTGGTAATCAAACCCAAACCTGAATAGAACCTCACACGTACTAAGCAAACTCTCTGCTGTTGAACTACAACCTTACTTAACCTCCCATGAGCATAGTTCATGTGCATGTGTCCTAACAGGAGTCAAACCTACCACCTTGTGCTTGCTAGGCAAGTACTCTACTGCTGAGCTACATCTCCAGACTCAATGATTTTCACCTTAGTTTTGTATGGTTGTTGATGTTACTTTTCAAAAGCACATTTTAAAAACTCTCTCATTTGAAAGTAATTTCAAGCAATACTGTGGTACATATAATAAAAACATGCTCAGGCATGGTAATCCATGCCTTTAATCTGAGCTTTTGGGAGGCAGAGGCCTGCAGAGGCTGGTACATCTCCGTGAATTTGGGGCCAGCCTAGTCTACAAAGCAAATTCCAGGTTGGTGATTGCTAAATAGTGTCTCAAAAATAAACAGGGGCCTGTGATCGACTCTCAGAGCCCACATAGTGGGAAGAAAGAACTAACTCCCTCAGGTCATTCTCTGGCCTTAACACACACGGTGAGATGAGTGTACATGCACACACATAACTAAATAAATGTAATAAAAGCAGTGATTTTTAAATGGAAAATTTTCCATTAATTTCAGTCCTCTCTTCCAGCTCCCCCGCCCCCACTCCATTCCTATTCCCTCCTCACAGACAGCCACTGTTCAGAGCTTAGTTTAGCTTAATGTTGTTATATGGGTTTATCATTTTACATCTGAAGGAAAAAAGTTAGGCTCAAGTTATTCCCCCCAATTTGGGACATTTGTGTTTTTTCTTGGTTTGCTATCTCATTGAAAACATAAACGAAAGGAGGTTTCACTGAGCGGAACTCAGACTGGACGGCAGGTGTGACTGATGGCTTGCTTGTGTTGTCAGATGACTTGAGAGTCATTGGGGCAGGTGCCAAGTAAAACTGGCTTGGGTATAAATGTCAACCAGGAGACGGGGCCTAGAATGTGCTCAGGAGCCCTGTGTGCACTATTTCATACTGAGTACCTTCCTAGCAGCTGTTTCCTGTACCAAATATTCTGAGAGAAGGGATCTTCTTTCCATTCCACAGTTCTCATGCCACGGTTCAGAGGGCTCAAGTGCCTGGCCGATGGTCACACTCCACCTAGTTCAGTGCTGGGCTCTAAGTTGCCAGACACTGAATTGAGGACTTGTGGTGCTGTTATAAGGAACAGGGGATCTTGTTTTCCTGTCTTCACATGAGCAAAACTCATCATCGTATCTGTAAACTACCTTTGGTCCAAAGAAACACTGAAATACTCCTAGGATTGGCTGCTGGGTGGTGGTAGTGGTTCTGTTGCTGGAGATAAACCCCAGTCCCCATTCCAGGTGCTTCTACCCCTGAGCTATACCCCAACTCAGTCGTTAGCTATTTTCACACTATAGCGTGTATACAATAGCTAATGGTTTGTGTGCTTTGTATCAGTCTCAAAGCAATCAGGATTGCCTTGACAACACACTGATCGTGATGCTAAAAGAGGTAAAGAAACTCTCCTAGCAAAATTGGCTGAAGAGGCATCCAAACCAAGTTCTATATGTGAAGAAAGCTAGACAGCTGAGCTAGGCCTTATTCCACTCTCCGCTGTCTCCTCCTAGATAACAGTGACCTGATCGCATGTACAGTCATCACCAAGGATGGCGGTATGGTCCAGCGGTTCTTGGCTGTGGACATTTACCAGATGAGCCTGGTGGAACCTGACGTGTCCAGACTCGGCTGGGGAGTGGTCAAGTTTGCTGGCCTTCTGCAGGTGAGAGTCTAAGAACCCCAGCCTGTTTTCGTACTCTGCACACATGTATACCAAAATGTCAGTTTTATACTCACTTGTAATGGCACAAGAAGTATGCACACAAAGCCAGAGTGCTGTACAGAGAACAGCCAAGTCCCCTTTACCCAAACTGTAATCTTAACACCTCTCCTTCCCTACAGGAGAAAACCCATTGCCAGACTGGTCCTACCAGATCTACTTCACTGCCAAGTGCAAATACTACATGTATGGTTTTGTTTTTTAATCTATCCATGGAAATGTCAGTCAAACTCAATGGGGAAGGACCACATGGTTGTACATGATCTCAGCATTCAGGCAGTAGAATCAGGATGGCATTCACAAATTCAAAGGCAGACCAGTCTATTTAATAGGTTCCTGACAAGTCAGGTAGGTTCATGTAGCAAGACCTGGTCTCAAAATAAAAGGGGATGGAAATGAGGACAGCATGCTGGGGTTGTAGCTTAGTTGACAGGGAGTGCTTACCCAGCATGTACAAGGCCCTTGATTCTATTCCCAGCAGCACACACAACTGGCTATAATCATACATGCCTATAACTCTGGAAGTTAGAAGGTGGAAACAAGATGATCAGAAGTTTAAGGGCAGCCTTGGTGACCTAAGGAGTTGGAGGCTAGCCTGAGCTACATGAGACCCTGTCTCAGAAAACGAAACAGACCAGGTATGGTAGTAGACACCTTTAATCTAGTACTTGGGAGGCAGAAATGAGCAGATCCCTGTGAGTCTAAGGCAAATGTGGTCTACAAACCAAGTCCCAGGCCAACCAAGATTATGTAGTGACACTGTCTCAGAAACAAACAAAACTTCACCAAGAAATATGTCTGCCATAAACATGTACAGACTTTCTTTTTACTCTTTAGTCCCTAAATAGCTATTTATACAGCATATATGTGGTATGAAGTCTTATGCACCATCTAGAGTGGGTTTAGAGTCTACAGGAAGATAGAGTAGGTTATATGCAGATACTGCACCATTTAAAGTAAGGAACTTGAACATCTACAGATTTTTGGTTCCCAGTTTGGTAGGGAGTGCCCAAGGGATAACTGTACATGTGTTTGAGGGGATGTACGGATTCTTATGCTGTCACATGGCCATACTGTAGACTTGGCTTTTCTCCTAGCCTCTCTTGGAGTGTGTCTAGCCATTTTAGCACATGCATGCCTGCTGGGGTTCTTGACGATCCCAACTTTTCAAGCATACTGCTGCAAGCCTGATGTTCCACTTCCTCATGCACCTGGGCAGGATTTCCCTAGGCAGATACCCAGGAAGCTGGAATTGGCTATTTTAAGAGTTCATAGCTTCTGCCAACTTCCTCTAACACCGTTGTCACCACAGGAGTTCATGAGCACTCCCTCCTTGACCCTCTGAAGCACAAAAGGCTCTACAGCACCACATATCAGCTGGGGCTCTGTCTTAGAGTTTTATAAGTGTAATGGGTGACTAGTGCCTACCTGCAGAGGGAATGAAACAAAGATCCCACAGAGTAGAGAGCAGATTCCACTTCTTAGCTCCACTGTGCCCTGTCCCTAAATTCCCATGAACCTGTCCCAGCCTGGGGCTCCCCTCTCCCTATTTCAAGGAAGTCCATTCCTTGCTGTACTGTTCTGGTTCCCAGAAGACCTTGCTTAGGCTGATTTAACTCCTTGCCAGAGCAGTGGCTAGCCAAATTGTTCCCTACTCTCCATGGGGAACACCTGTACATGAAGCCAGTGCTCCTGTCTCCTCTCCTTCCCAGACTCCTCTCTTTCCAGACCCTCTTGTCTCTCAGTGAGGCTATAGGAGGATCTTTTTTCCCCCAAAGATACTCCAGTGTCAAACACTGCCCAGTAGATGGCCTGTGCATCTTATTATCAAGGTATACCAATTTCTGTAGAACATAAAGTCAGGGAAGTGTTTTTCTCTCTCAGAGGGTTAATGTATGTCTTGTCAGACAATGAAAGCTCCACGTCCCTACCCCACCTCCTCTTTTGGTTCTCTTCCAGTAGCTACTATTTGTCAGACTGATACTGTGCACCAGCTCCCTGCTTTAAATTCACAATAGCTCATCTTATCTGCTGATGCCCTCTGATGCAGCCATTCTTTCCAAAGGGAGAGCCTCCGAGCACAGAAGCCCCCTTCCTTCCGAGCCTTTTTCAGTGGCTCCCACCTCCTCTAGCATGGCTGACCTTTGAGTCCATCTTCTGTCTGGTATGCTTTTATCTCATGTGCCCTTGAACCTTTGTGGGTGCAGACTTGATGCAGAACCCACCCAGAGGCTTTATGGGAACCAGTCCTTACACACTCACTCCTTGTCAGTGTCTTTATCCCTTTCATGTACAGCTTGCCTGAAGTCTCTGCCAAACAGCCCTAATGGCCCTTTCTCAGGGACTGTCCTCAAAGATGTACCAAAGGATACCAACAACACCCCATTTTGAAGAGAAACAAGTAGGTGGTGTTTAACACGACACCAGGTGATAACAAGGCTTTGGAGTTGTAGCCTCTGGTTGCCCAGAAGGAAGAGTTGTTAGAATTTGTCTGTGGTGAAAGTGGTGGCCCTTGAAGAGGCTGGCATGCCTCTGTGGTTAGGCATCTCAAGTCCTCCTGGAAAGGAGTATTAGCCATACATTCAGCATCACTGACTCTTCGCCTTTCAGGCCTGGACTGGTCTGCATCACCCTTAAATCTTCCAGAGTTAGCCTCCTTCAGAACAAAAACAGACTCAAAGTACTGGTGTCTTTCTACATGAGCCACTGACACCCCTTAACCTATCAGCCCCTGAGCCTGATGAACATTTCGCCTTTGCCTTCTTGTTATGCAGGACATGCAGGTGACAGGAGTGGAGGATGACAGCCGTGCCCTGAACATCACCATTCACAAGCCTGCCTCCAGTCCACACTCTAAGCCCTTCCCTATCCTGCAGGCCACCTTCGTGTTCTCTGATCATATCCGCTGCATTATTGCCAAGCAGCGCCTGGCCAAGGGCCGCATCCAGGCCAGGCGCATGAAGATGCAGAGGATAGCTGGTGAGTGACCTCAAGCCCAGGGACTCTCCACCGCAGGTTGTCACCAGTTCACATTGACCCAGAAAGTCCCAAGACAAGGGATTCACCTTGGTTCAAAGAATGGGGCTGTCCCAGCTTCCCAGGTGTTTGGAATGGAGAAAATTTCCAGGGCTGCATGGAAGAGAAGGGGCCTCTGTAATAGACAAGAGGCTAGAAACAGGCAGGTAGGCAGTGAGAGACAGCTGGAACCCCCTTCATGATGTAACCCCCAAGGATATAGTCACAAAGTATTCAGACTGCCCTCTGCCATCTTAGGTATGCAAACAGCTTTTAGATCAGCCCTTAGCTTCCCATTGTGGGCAGGGTGTGTGTGGGGGGGGGGGGGACGGTGTTAGTCTCACAGAGAACAAGTTTGCAGTGCTTCCTACTCAGATTTTTTGTTTGTTTGTTTCAGCTCTGGGGATGAAGCCCAGGGCCTCACACATGCTAGCCAGGGGCTGCCCCTGAGTTGTCCCAGCCTAGCAGAATTTTCCTCACCCTTCTCTCTGTTCCCTTATCATCTCTTGGTGAGCAGCCAGCACCCAACACTAAATTCAGGGGTCATTCACACCTCACAGGGATGGTGGGGTTTGTATCACCCAGGCTTTCTTGGTAAACCCTGAAATAATGTTGTTTCTTCAAGTCATGAAATGGAAGTCAAGGCATTGTCCTGGGGCAGGGTGAGGCAGGGGAGTCCTAACCTGTCTTTCCTTTAAGATTCTCAGGTTAGAGCTGCAGCTCGTTTGTTAGAGTGGTTGGCCTAGCATGCACAAAGCCCTAGGTTTGCTCTTAAACACTGTATCAACACCAGTACAGTGACAAATGCCTATAATGCCAGTCTTGGAAGGGGGAGACAAAAGACTTAAGTTTAAGGTCACCTTTCAAGGTCATCGTCTACTATATAGTAAGTTCAATACCAGCCTGGGCTGCATGAGATCCTGTCTCACAAAAGATACAAATGAAGGAAGGAAGAAAGACTGAACAAATAAATAAATAAAAGTAGTGCTTCAGCTCAGGCCCAAACAGCCCTTCTCTCGTGGTGCCAGGGGGATGTCCAGCCCACTGTGAAGAGAAACATTCTCTCAAGCAACAAAGGAAGAATAAGCTCTCCGGCGCACTTCATTTCTGACTCCCAGCTCCATGCTGTGTGTGCCTCCATGATATGCACCAGAGTTGTTTGCCCTTCTTGTTTCTCAGTTAGCTGAAGCCTGGCCTGTGGAATCATTACAGGAGTACTTTGTAATGTGCAGAGTGATTTAAATCATTCAGCCCTTCCTTTCAAGATTTATTCCCAGACTTTCCCCTGTAATGTGAAGCAGTTTCTCACTGCTGGCATGAAGGCCAGGTATTTCATTTGAAAATTGAGGACTGCACTGTAAAGTGGCTGCTAGCATGAACGCCTTGGATACTTCTTAAATTGATTTTGAAAAGCCACTTTGAACTAATATATCACAAGAGTTGTTTAAGGGAAGATGACAGCTATGACATGTAAACACACACTCATAAATACAAACATATGCTTCCTGCACACAGATTCTCATAAGCATCTATAGCAAGATTCCACCACTCAGATATTAAAAGATCAGAACTGGGCTGGGACAGCGGCTCAGTCAGTCAAATGCTTGCTGCACAACCGTGAGGTTTTGAGTTTAGACTCCCCAGCATCCATGCACAAGCAAGGCATGGCAGCATGCAGCTCTAACCTCAGCCCTTGGCGGGATGACCACAGAGAACCTGTAGGGCTCATTATCTGGCTAGGTTAGCCCAACTGTTGAGCTTGAGGTTAAATAAGACGCTCTGTGTCAAAAAGTAAGATACAGGGCCTGCAAGATAACTCAGACAGTAAAGGTGCTGACCACCAAGACTGATGACCTGAGTTCAATCCCTAGAACCGATTTGGTGGACACAGAGAACTGACTTACAAGTTGTCCTCTGACCTCCACATATTTGCCATGCCACACAAGGATGCCTGTATAGTACATGTACATGCACACAGATACACAAAATAGATATAGGAAAACCTTTTTAAAGTTGGGTAGCATTCAAGGACGATGGTCAGCATTGACCTCTGACCTCCATACATATGCACATGAGCACACACGAGCACACATACACACATACACAACTGTGAAAAATCTGTATCTTTATTGAACCTATTCTGGCTTTTTCTCTGTGATTACCCCCTAAACAGTATAGGAACTCCTTCTATAGTATTTGATCATATTAAATATAAGTCATCTAGAAATGATTAGCAGTAGACAGGATATATATGTGTCATGTACAGATATAATGCTGTTCTTTATAAGGGACTTAATTACAGATTTTGGTGTCTTTGCGGAAGAGTCCTGCAGATACTGACAGATCACTCATTTGTATATTTTGTCTGTCTGTCCATGTATGGCTGTGCACAAACTTTGGAGGCAAAATTAGCTTCACTTGCCCTAGAATCTGAAAGTGCATGCAAAGTCAAGCCTTTGGGAAGGGTCTTTTCTACAAATTTCAATTACAAATTGGCCTAGCATTTGTTTTAGCCAAGGAGCCAAACTTAGTACCCTGACTTCTTGGCCTGAGCCTCCTATTTGTAGTTGTGTTTTGAACTTCCCTAGAGACTCTGGCATCCTGCCAGTCTCCCGCCTCCAGCTCTGTTTGGCTTCCCCAAGGGTCATACTGTCAAGGCTGGTGTCACTCTAGCCTGTTGCCCAGTTATAGCAAACTTCCTGTCCCCATTATGAGTGCTAAGTACAGACTATGGTGCTGTTTGCTTCCAGCCCTTCTGGACCTCCCAATCCAGCCGACAACGGAAGTCCTGGGATTTGGACTCTGCTCCACCTCCCAGCACCTGCCTTTCCGTTTCTATGAGCAGTGCCGCCGAGGCAGCAGTGACCCCACAGTGCAGCGCTCTGTGTTTGCGTCTGTAGACAAGGTGCCAGGTAAGCCGGACCTCCTGCTGGGGCTCAGGATGCTTTTCTTCTGAGCCTGCTGGAGGCCTTCCTCTCAGAATCCCGGCTGTTGGAAACACTGGTTTCATAGACCACGCATACGCCCAACACGCAGTCTTGGCTTTCCCTTCTTTGTTCCATCACTTGGTTTGGTTTTCCAGACATTTCTTAGGTTTGTGAAGAAACTTCTCAGAATCAAGACTAAAATGTTTCTTGGAAATTTCTTGGAAATACTTGACCAATTAGTGATGAGAGTTGAGGGAGAAATTTCTTCTTTCATTTAAGATGACTAGGAAATAGTGCATGTGGTCCCCGAGGAGGGAAACCGTGAGGAAGTCCCAGTGCCCACAGGCCTTCTGCTTCTTCCCTCTGGGAGCAGCTCCTCCCGCTTCTGCAGCCCTGTATCCAGCCTTCCTGCCCTCCCTCCAAAAGGGAGACTCAGTGGAAAGTTCAAGGGCTGATAGAGCTGCTTCTTAAGAAAAGCAACTTCCTTTCTGCTCTAACACAGTCCTAAGTACATCCATATGCAGAAGATCCCATGGGTTGGGGGGAGGGGGGGTGAATGAGTCTCTTCTCTTGATTATAAAACTTAGAAAACTGTCCAGGCTCTCCTCTGCTCGTAACACTTCCACGTTCAGGGCTCAGACTTGAATTACAAGTATGAAATATTCTCAAAAGTGATTACTGGTGTTAGACCAACAAAAAACCATGGCAGCCTGCCCAAATCCAACACTTTGTCTACCTCTGATTTAGTCTGCTTTTACCCATGATTTGATTTCTTTATTTTATGTATACCATGAGTATACAATTTTTTAATCCAACAAGATTTGATAGAATGTAAGAATGTAAAGAAATCCCTTTTGCTACAGAATATGTGAACAGTTTCTTGCATGTCCTTCTAGAAATATTTACTTGTATGTATGTATGTATGATGTGTGTATGTATACATATATATATGTCTTTGCATATATCACATAAAGAGTTCTATGCCATGCATGTGATTATACATGTGATTCTCCATCCCACTCTTGATACTTAATCTATCACATATCAACATAACATCAAAAGCATAGCTGTCTGTGGACATTAACTCTGTTTTTAAAAAAAGAAAATAATGGCTTTACACTTTTGAGATCTTACTGCCTGGCATACAGTCAGGCCTGCCTGGTGCTTCTGCACTAGTCTGCTTAAGGGGTACCCTACCCTTGACCTCTGGAAGCTCACCTTGAGAGAATACAGAAAGAAGGGTATCTTACTGTTCTCAGGCTCCAGTGTATACCTGGAGAACCAGTGCTGTGCCAGAGTCTGCCCTGCCTCAGCCTTCCACACTGCCTGCCTTATCTAGGTCTTGGGTACCCACCTCCCAGGGATGGCCCAACCCCAGTGTGTGGGCTCTGTTCTCCAAAGGCCTTTTGTTATCACCCTGCTGAGGGCCACACCCTTCCCTTATCACATTGCCCTGGTTTATTTTCTCTGTAGGATTCAGTTTGTGTGCTGGGATCTGGTTCCTTTGCCCCGTGGAGAATGTCACTGTGTAGAACTGTTCTGTTCACCACCCTGGCTCAGTGCCAGCAATGGCTTCATTCAGTGTTTGTCAAGTGAACTGCACTTGCTTCTATCTGAACACCATGAAGACAAGGATATCCTATCTAGGACCCCAGGCATGGGGGGTGGGGGGGTTAGTCTGCCTAGGAAACACAAGAGCACCAGGACCCAGATCGTCAGCAGCACCAGCACCTAACTTCAGTTACCAAACTGACATGTGTCTCCCAAGTAGGAGTACCCTGGCCATAGATAGTTAGGGTGACTTCGGGTTACAAACTATACTTCCCAACCCCCACCACCTGTGTCAGCTTTGCAGAAACCGAGTAAGGTCTCCTTACTCTCCATCATTCACGCTACCTTCTAGGCCCTTGTTACCTTCACCTTCTGAAACGACAGGCTGTTGACTGTGGGAATTCTCACCAATTCAAGTAGGGGTAGGCAACTCTCAGGCCTCACTTGATTGGAACACTTCTTCCCTTTTGTCTGTATCCCAGGTGATGCACAGGCAAGTGTGACTCTAAATTTGCTTATATCTGATGGAAGTGTACCTCACTCTTCTTGGGGGAAATAGTAAGAGGGGCTGTATATATTACCCAGGCTGAGGGGCTAGCGACTAGCCACTCTGAAGTGTTTGGGTTTTTGTTTGTTTTTGTCTGCTTGGCTAAGCAGTTACAAATTCTGTTTATCTTCTGAGGTGGCTCTTGCCACCTCATGGCAGCTTCCTAGGGCAGAGCTTAGGCCACCTGGTCAGGGAGGAAATTGCAGTGGTGACCAGCATGGGGCAGCAGTTACTTGAGGAGTGCCCCAACCCCTCATGGTAGTAGCTGCTTCCAGAATTTGCCATGGCCAGGAGGATATGCACAGCACATCCTTGGACTGGTGTTTCCATTAACTCCAGGTGAAGAGCCCCGAGCTGAAGCTCTTCCCAGCAGAACTTTCTTCTTAAGACTGATTTATGTTCTTTGCATGGATACACCAAATCTTGCTAATTCATCCCCACCCTGCCCCCACTCCCACCCCAAACTCTACCCCCAACCCCACTCTGTTGTAACTAGGAATATGTAGGTTTTAACTTCAAAGTATATGGCTAGCAGTGGCCAAGTGGTCATTTAATGTTTTGAGAACTGCCTGACCATTCTCCCTCAGTCATTTTAACCCTTACCTTTAGCTGAAATTAGCAGTTAATTTTCCCTTTTGCACCATGGCCCTGCATTGGAATGGGAAGTACTTGGAAGGGACCTGTTTCTCTAGGCAATAGCTAGGGGTGTCAGCACACACTTGATGTTCTGCTTTCCTGTCTTCCTACCCCCTTGGGGCAGGCATCTAAATCTCAGAGGAGGGGTTGGTGACTGTATAAGCAGTAAGGGCCAGGGACTTTAGGCCCCCTGCTTGAGCACCCTGGTTTACTCAGTAAGACTGGGGCCAGGGAGAGAGATGGGTGGTCCCTGGGGAACAGTACTCAGGACTGTCCTCTGGCCTCCACAGGCATGCACACGGGAGCACACACACGGGAGCACACACACGGGAGCACGCACACGGGAGCATACACTTGCACTTAAATCCTCAGGATCTGGGGAGGGCCACTGGTCCAGTTGCTATCAAGGCAAACAACCCAGCCTTATCAGTTGCCTGGCCCAGAATACTTAATAGTTAGTTCTTTGGGATAGCCTGCCATTCCAGGGCACCAGTGGCAGCTGAGTAGCCTAGGAGGAATGTAAAGGTGACAGTCTGGAAGGTACCAAGTGCTAGAGGCCTGGCACTGAGCTCCAGAGAAGAGAAGTTAACAAGCAGCGATTAATATGTGGGCATCAGCCCTGACTTTCCAGCCTGGAGACAATATGTGAGGTGCTAATGTCGTGGGGGGGAGTGTGCTTTTCTTGTTTCTGATTATAAAACAAAGCCAGCTCTCTCCTTCCAGCTTCTCAAGACAAAATACTCTTCTAGAGTCACACAGGAAGGAGGCCTGTAACCCCTTGGCCTCTACAGCTGTGCCTCAGTTCCCTGTGCAGACAAGGCTGTGCCAGTGAACTACAGAAATTGATTCCTACCCTGCTTCTTATTGTAACTTTTTAAAAAGCAAAGTTCACTGGGCTGCTGAGCAGCTGACAAATTATTTTCCTCTGATACTCCCAATATTTCTGCTTCCCTCTCTGCATGTGTAGAAGTACCCTGCCAAAGGTCACAAGCCTGACTAAGGTCATATACCCTAAGCACCACAGATGCTAAAGCAAGTTTATCCTAATCTCTCAGCGTGACACATCAGAAATGAGCCACCCAAGCCTGCTTTTAGAAATCAAGGCCTGACTACTGCCATCTGAGGCCTCCCTGCTTCCAGGCAAGCCCACGTTGCCAGGTGTGTAGTACACCCTGGTGATCCAGCACACTAGACATGTAGGCATGAGGGTGGAGAGGTCAAGACCAGCCTAAAGTTACATGGAGAGACCCTGCCTCAAACATTAAAAAAGAATTGCAGAAATCCTGTCTATTTCTGAAAGTATGAGCTATGTTCGGGAAAATTGACTGTATCGCGCATTTTCTATACATTAATTCTCACTTCCAGGAAGCTCTCAAAGCTGAGTCCCTGCCCTATTCCACACATTGGAAACTGAGATCCAGACTAAGCCCTCAGAACTCACAAGAAACAAACTAAGCCTGTCTCTAAATCTGATTTGCTTCAGTTTGCTTCAAGGCTGCCTTTGGCTCCCAGTCTTAGTATAACAGAGGTTAGAGGGTGAACTGGTTTAGAGAGCGGCCTCACAGCTGGTGGTGGCCTAGACAGGGTAAACCCATCCTCATAACCTACACCCCCACCCGTGCATAGACCCAAGTCTTTGTGCTTTGAGACCTGTCTCCAAAGAATCAAGTATCTGAACAAAGACACTAAAGAAAACTGCTCTCCCAGACCACTGCTAGACAACTAGAGGGCATGCTCACTTGCACAATAGTGTGCTTGGCCTACAGTGAGAAAGAGCAGAAACGACACTGGAATCAACCTCAGCAGACCAGCAGCAATTGAGCACTGACACTCATGTCTAAGAGACTGACCTTCAAGTGCTAGGCTGGGAGCCAGGGAGATGCTCAGTGGAGGAGAGCACTTGCTCTGTCAGTAAGAAGACCTGAGTCCAGTGCTCCAGCCAGGCATGGCTGGGTGAAACTACAGCCCCAGCACCATGGGCAGACACAAGTGAGTCCTAAGAGCTCCTTAGCCAGTTCCCCTGGTCAAAATGATGAGCTTCTAGTTTAATGAGAAACCCCTTCCCAAAGGAATAAGACAGTGTGATAGGCAGTGACCGGTGTCCTGCTCTTGCCTCCATTCTTACATGGCATCCACCACACACAAAGAAGATCAAGTCAAAGCAGACATGACTACCACCAAGAAGTCAGCTGGTGGTTCTACGCTTGTCAGGCCTCTTTTCAAAGTGCTAGGGCTGCCATAAACAGAAAGC